CGCCGTGTCACGCCGGCGAGCGCGAGGAGATCGTCGCCAAAGTCGTCGCGAGCAAATTAGAGGAACCCCGTGTGCTCGCGTGAGCGAGTCTCTGCTGCGCAGTCGGCAGAAAAGAAAAGAAAAAAAAAAAAAGATTGCTCAGAGCCGTGTCGCGCAGACGAAGCGCGTCGCCGGCGCGGCTGGCGGAGCGTGCGAGCTGGCGAGAAATTTCATCGGGCTAACGCATTTCCTTCAGAAATCCGAACTGTGCGACACGCGTGCGACGAAAAGCCCGCACGGCCCGACAGAGGGGACGAGAGCGAGGAAATGCGCGAGTAAAAGCTGGGGAAAGCGTGCGCGCGCGCGCGCGCGCGGGCGAGAATTTTGCAAGCGCGTAACATTAGCCGGCGGGGTGTCGCTCTCTTTCGCAAACTCCGCGACAGAACGTTGCACAATGTCGTGCGATGATTTACACGGCAACGTTAGTCGCACATTAGTAACGACGCTTCGGTCGCCTGTCCTTCTCTTTTCGACGCCGCGCTGCACCGGAGAGAGACAGAGAGGGGAGGGGGAGGGGGAGGGGAGCGCAGTCTTTCTTATATATTCCGGTAATCTCGGCTGCAGAGAGCCAAAGTTTATCGCGTTACTTCTTCATCACGTCGCCCTCGAATCTCGTTATGAAACTTTTGAGAATATAACTAATTCGCGCAAGTGCATTAGCGGCGTTAAATAATGCAGAAAGCGCGGAGGAGCTCTGAGAACGGTTACAAGATCAATCCAATCGACTCGTCGAGTTGCTTGATTCTTAGGATTCTGTCGGTCCTCTTGTCGTTCTCTTCTTCGAGATGCGGTGATTGACGCGCGACGGTGACGAGTACCGTGAATATTTCTGGATCAAAACGCCGGAAAGGATGTATTGACGGGAAACGTCTCGGGAATCGTGAGAACCCGAGAATTTTCGTCCTATTTTCGATCTCGACTGTTTAATATTGCTGGATTTTAGAGGAGACCAATGGAGATTTAATTTATGTAGAAACAAAAGTCTCCTACTCAACGTCTACTCAAAATGGCGGAAACCGCACAATGTGCCGCTTGTAGGCTCTTCAAGAAACTCCTCGGCAAAGCTGTGGGTTAAGTGTCACAAAAGAAGGGGTTAATGCAGAGACCTCGGAATGTGAAATTATCGTTAAATGAAACATTGACGTCCAAAGTAGAATGAAAATTTCAACTCGAAACTTCGTATCGCTAATCCTCCGCGCGGCGACTCGATCGGTTAGCTAAAAATGAGACAAATAAAAATTGGCTACATGCAGTCATCTATCTACACACGTCTCAACGTTAGAAAAAAATGTACAAGCAACCCCGATTATAACATATTCCTTCCCTCCACATGTCTCTCCCCATGATGTCCGAGAAAGCAAACGCCGGCGGCTTTTGATTTTTTCTTTTTTTTTATTACCTCTCTGCAACGTTACAATCTACTTAATTACAGTAAATAACTCTTATAAATGACTACTCAGCCCTGAGTAAAATTAAAAAAAAATGTAATCTGTTAATTAATATTCTGTGATTGATGTCGAGTCATGGCGAAGCTTATAATCTAATAGGTAGTGTCGGAATATTCCATCCTCTAAGTGTCTCGAATTCGAACATTATCATTAGTTAGTTTAGACGCAGATCGGATAGACACGTTTAGATGATGACGCAAACTTTTTTGGTACCTTTCGCTGTAGGTGTTGACATCTTTCAGTGTTGAATTTTAAATCGTTGAGGATGTATTTATTACCTAGTATGGTATGTCCAGCATGGTTCTAATAGCTTTTTCTTGGAATCGTTCTAAGATTCCGACATTGCTGTTGCTAGCTGTACCCCACGACTGGATAACGCAGGTCCATACCGGTTTGAGGATGGTTTTAAAATCGCCATTTTTAAATAGCCTTTGAACGTATTACCTTTCAAGCTCGAGTTATGGCGCCGAGTGCCGAGGCGTCGCACTTTAAAGAGGATCGTAAACATGAGGATCGGAAACGCACAATGTGCTACGCGCTTAGGCATTAGCCCTTTATATCCTGAATTAATTTATCTAAGACTTCATTAAATTTTTGTGCAATTAAATGGCTCTTGGCATATTATAGACACAAGGGAAAATATATTTTATAACAATTTAATGATTAAATTTTAAAGCGGCACTTGCAAGTACCGTCAGAGTAAAACACAGAAAAAATTCCAAAGCATATGAACGTTCATATAGAACGGTATTTTCAAGCACCGTCGGGATACAAAAAATTAAGCGAAAAGAAAACGAAATACAGGATGTCCGGGATTTTTTAGAAGCGAAAAATTGTGAAGATTAATCAGATGAAACTGAGAAGAGAAGTCAAGTACCATTTTGCAAAAATCGCAATAGTTATTAAGTTATTGATAATTGAAAATGACTACATTCAGAAGCTTTTTTAGCTGATAACTTATCTGCAAAATGACAAAGGACTTTTTGTTCAGAATGACCTAATTTCTAATTATATGACGGTTATTATGTATACAGCGACAAGTTCAAGAATCAAAGCGTTCAAAGTTCCATACACTCATAACTGTTGCTAGACATTTTCAATCATTAATGACTTAATAACTAACTTGCAATTCTTGCAAAATGACACATGACTTTTCTTCTCAGCTTGATCTGATTAATCTTTACAATTTTTCGTCTCCAAAAGATCCCGGACACTCTGTATATATAATAAATCCCATCCGCCGCACACAGCAACGCGTCAGCGCGAGCTCCCATTGGCTTCTCCTATTTATCGCTCGTACTCGAGCTACCTTATCGCTGCTTTGTTTTGACGGAGGATCTCCGCAGGACTCGTGTCCGCCCGGACGGATAGTGAAAGTCAGCCCCAACACGGACACGCGATCTACGGCGGTGTGTAAGGATGTGCGAGGGTGCGCCGCGCGTCCTATCCGGAGCGGTCGGCACTCCGTCGGTGGGGGAACGGCAGGTTTGCGATCGGTCGTGTCCCCCGACGGGGGGACACGGGCCTTCGGAGTCGATCGCTAATTGGGTGAGAGCGCAAATCTGGGCCTGGCGCAGGATCGATGGACCGAGCAATTTCCCGGCGTTCGGATCGAAGGCGACTTTTCGCGCATTTCCCGGCCCGGGCCATATGCTCGTTCGCCGCAACACCGGTCGCGCCAAAGATGGCCTCATTCACGGCCCGATCACAATAGCCCGAAATGCGCGGCCGTTTAAATGGGGGCCGTTCGGACGCGCGCGCGCGCGCGCGCGCTCAATGGCGCGCGCCTCGTTAGCCTTGTCGTTTAGGAATTATATATAATTCGAACGGTTAGCATTATACGCAAGGGCACCGCGGCGCGAGGAGAGCGCGCCCCTCTCGGCCTTTATGCGGCCGCGAGGGCATTGATTACGAATTCTATTGGGTTAGCGACAAACGACTTCGGCGCCCGCTCGACTTTCGATCGCGCCCGGCCGGCCGGGAACTCGCAGCAGCGTTACTGCGTCGCTGTTGCAGCTCGTCGATACAAAAGGCGCGTTTCACGCGCGAGCACGCGACCTGTCGCCGCTTGGCAATCGCAAATCCTAAAGCCACGCCGGACGGGTGAGCTGAAAAAGTGCGGCCGAGGCCGGTGGCCCAATTTCTTGAGAGGAAGGTTCTGAAGGAGAAGGTCTCCCGGAGATTGGTCTCGTTCTGTAGTTTCCGGCGCGCTGGTGCACGAATGTGCGAGTCCCAAAGGTCCCAAAGGTCCCAGAGGTCCTAAAGGTGGACCGACGTGCCGTTTCGGAGAAAATGGCCCGTTCAAAATTGCGCATGACGCAACTTGTATTCACGAAATGAAAAACGTTAATTTGCAACGCTAAATCGTCAATAGCGACAGTCCCGAGTGTGTCTCTAAGAGTGGGACGAAGGAATTGGACTCACAAAGGATTCCAGTGGATTCTCAAACAGTAGGTATTGCCAAAATCGGATCAGCCGAATGCCCAAAGGTTTCGGGTGAAACAGGAATAGTTGACAATGAAGCGAAACAATCGCGTCGCTGCGACTCGCTGAGAATGGATCTTGCCGTTGCGGGTTGTCAGGGTAACACCGGTGGCGAATTATTTCGTCTTTTAAGTTATGAGATGCTTGCGAAAGTTCGTGTATAACTTCCGCAGCCATTTTCATTTGTTAATGATAACGAGACGACGTAATATTCCGATCAAAGTATTGGCCTATCGATATTGCTACCGATAACCTTACTTGGCTAACCTTGCTCTGGAAAATTGAAAAATCACATAAAACTATTTTCTAACCTTGCTAACAGCGATTCCCATCGCTGCGCGTTGAGCAACTTTTGTCGTTGGCGCAACTAATCAACACCCTCCGATAACAATCCGATACTAAACAAGTACCCTCCGATAACAAAACGACAAAGGAATTTTCCATCATAGTTTCATAGAGCAATTGTCTTTGCTGCACCGATCAGTCTGTCGCGTCGCAGCAATGTCAAATTGATGTCAGATACGATCGTAGAGATTCGAGAAAACCAGCCCCTCCCCCTTCCTTAACGCATTGTCGACGCGAGACGGCGTTTCTCAATTTTCTCAGACGTTGAAGACGCGAAACAACGATTCACACTTTGCGCGCGCCGGGCCGCGCATTGTGTGAATTTTAATCATTGTATTTATTCGATTCTCTGTTTGCAACATAATCACAGCCTTATAGACTCTCGATTAAGTTCTCCGACGGAACTGAGGTTCGATCCGTTTCGCGATATACCGCGTCAACAACAATGTGTCAATGTGACTCCAACCCGCCAATCTCGAGCGAGATGCAAGGGTTGCAACAGAGAGGATTCCTCCGATGCGACGCGCGACGAATGGATCAGCGAATCCACCAGCAGTCTCATAATTACCAACGCATAATTCCTTAATTCCCAAGGTATGTGCGCGCAGCGAGTGCGCAGTTTCGAGCTAAGGCTAAAAGGCTATAAAAGAGCTGACGCACGATAAAGAAGACGTTCTCGCTCACCTAAGTAACGGCAGCTCTACGTCCATTGATGCCCCGGGGGCGGCGGCGGCGGCGGCAGCGGCAAGGGCCTCTCGAGAACAGGCAGGGGGGACACCTCCGGCATGGCGAACCTCAGCTTCTGCCAGAACAACTTGTCCCCCCACACGAGCACGGTGTGCGACGAGATCCGCTTCTTGAGATCGGCGTCGAGATCGCGCGGGCACACACCGCCCACCAACAGCAAGATCACCGAACGGCCCCTGCCCTTGAGAGCGTCCCTCAGGGCCGCCTTGAACTCGAACCTGGCCCACTCGCCGTGCAGAAAGTTCTTGGACAGTACGAGAATCGTGCGTCTGGAGGAGTCGGCCGCTTCGGCGACGGCGTCGGCGACGTTGCTGCCGGCGCCGAGGTCGCGGTAATGCAGGCACAGCCTGTACGAGTTCTCGAGGCTGGGCACGAGGATCGCCGAGACGAAGGCCTCGTCGACCGCGGAGTACGAGATGTATGCGTCGAAGGGCTTCTCCTGGTCCTCGAACGCGGCGGTCTTGTAGCAGGCGCGCAGGCCGCACCTGCTCGCGGCCCAGGTCCGGAGGATACGCCGGTGGCGGAACACGGCGCACATCACCGCGACCGTGACAAAGATGAGCAGGCCGGTGGCGAGCATCAGCACGAGGTACGCCTCGATCGGCCGCTTCTCCACGGCGGAGGTCGTGCCGGTTAACGCGGCGCAATTGATGGCCGAGCCGTTCGCCGGCAGAGTTATGGGCACGCCGAGGGAGCAGGTGACGCTGCGCCAGTCGTTGATCTTGAGCCGGTTGCGGGACATCCACTCGCGCACGCGGTCCAGGTACGAGCACTCGCAGCTCCACGGGTTGCTGGAGAGACCGATGTCGATAAGATATGGATTCTGCTCGAGCTGCCAGAGGGCGAAGATGCCGAGGCGATTGTTCTCCATGCGCAGCACCTCGAGCTGACGCAGCGGCAGGAACGTGCCATTGTCGATGTACGTGAGCAGATTGTTCTGCAGGTAGAGCTCCTTGAGGTTCTCCAGCGGCATCAGCTCGACGCCGTTCAGCACGGCGATCTTGTTGTTCTCCAGGTGGAGCACCAGCAGCCGCTTGAGCCCGCTGAACGTGTGGTTGCGCACCGCGATGATATTGCTGTCGTTCGCGTAGAGGATCCGCATGTTCTTTCGGCCGATGAACGAGTGCGAGTTGAGCTCGCCAAAGTTGTTGCCGTCTAGGTAGACCTCGGTCGCGTCCATCGGCAAGCGGCCCGGCAGGCTCTTGTAGCCGGAGCTCGAGCAGTCGACCACGTTGGCCGACCAGGACTGGTCGTGGTAGCACGTGCAGTTGCTCGGACAGGTCATCTCGCAGTCGCATGCGTCGAAGTCGCAGCAGTGGCAGAGCGCGAAGCAATGGGCCTTGTAGGTGCAGAGGAACTGCGACGGTTTCGCCTCGAGCAGTGGTATGAAGGACTTGTGCCGGTCGTACGGCAGCCTGCAGTAGACCGACTCGAGGTCCATCACCCGCGGATGCTGCCGCAGCGTCAACGAATTGATCCTCTGCAGCCACTCGGTGGTGCAGTCGCATATGAAGGGGTTGCCGCCGATGTAGAACTCGGGCAACTGCCGGCTGGCCGGCACCTGCCCGAGCTGGAGGGCCGACAGGTTCATCTTGACGATCATGTTCGCGTAGAGGTCGACCCGGGTGAGATTAATCTTGTCGAAGAACGTCTTGGGCTCCACGGACTGTATATTATTGTCGTTGACGAACAGCAGCTCGATGGAGTCCGGGATCGAGCGCGAGTGTATCCGCGTGAGCCGGTTGAACGACACGTCGAGGGTCTGCAGCTTCAGGGTCCGCGGTGCGACGCCGAGGTCGCTGACGAGATTCTTGTGCAGGTCCATCCACTGCAACTTCTCGGGCAGGTAGCTGTAATTGAACTGCGCGATCATGTTGTCGGACATGTTCAGCCACAGGAGGTCGGGAGTGCTCGCGAAGATGCTCGACATGTCTTGCAGGAGATTCGAGTCCAGTCGTATCGCCTGTAAGGCTGGGTTCGCGGAGAACGCGCCGTCCTCCACGTACTCGATGCGGTTCCGCGCGAGATTCAGGATCTGCAGCGCCGGCAGCTCCGCGAGGTCCTCCTGCGTGACGTTGGTGATCTCGTTGCCCATCATACGCAGCCCGTAGAGGCTCGACATGCCGCGGAAGCCGTGCTTACCGAGGCTCTTGATCTGATTCTCGCCGAGGTCGAGAGTCCGCAGTATCCTCATGTCCTTCAGCGCGACCGGCACGCTGTCGAGGTTGTTGCCGGACAGATTCAGGTCCTGCATGCTCGAACAGTTGCGAAAGGCGTCGGGATGAATGCCCTCGAGCAGGTTCGAGTCCAGGGCCAGCAACGACAGGGCGAACAGCCCGTTGAGGGAGTACGCGTCCAGATAGGCCAGACGATTGTGCGCCAATTCGAGGGTGTGCAGGTTGCTCATCGGCGAGAACGTGTCGGCCGGGATCGTTTCGATCTCGTTGAACTGGAGATTCAGGATCTGCAGAGTGTAGAGATCCTTGAAGAGCGCCGGGTCGAGTTTGTCGATGCGATTGTGAGAGAGATTCAGCAGCACCAGCCGTATCAGACCGGAGAACGTCGCCGAATTCATCCACTGGCTGGTCAAGACGTTGCGCGACAGGTCGAGGGCGACCAGTTGATTCATGTCGGCCACCAGACCGGGCGACAGTACGCTGATGGAATTGTTCTGCAATCTTAGCTCCTTCAGCGACTTGGCGGCGTCGCGGAACATTTCCGTCGGCAGCGCGACGATCCTGTTGGCCGACAGGTCGAGGCTCTCCAGGGACCTCAACCCGCGCAGTGCCTCGTCGGCTACCATGGAGATCGCGTTGCCGGATAAATTCAATACCCGCAGACGCTTGAGCGACGAGAATCCGTAGCTCGACAGCACGGAGATCTGATTGTTCGACACGTCCAACGACTGCACGTCCAACGAGCACGAGAGCGGCGCCGACGTTGATTCCTGTTGACGTCGCGGCGGCGGCTTCTCGCCGCCGCCGCCGCCTCCGCCTCCGCCTCCGCCTCCGCCTCCGCCGCCACCTCCGCCGCCAGCACCGCCACCGACACCGCCGTCGTCGCGAAAGCCGAGCTCGGAGATGTCCTTTAGCGTGTTCCACGAGATATTGAGAGTCACCAAGTTTGACAAGGAGCAAAACAAGCGGTCCGGTATCTGCCAGATGTTGTTCCACGACAGATCGAGTTTCTCAATCTGCGGTGTGCCGTCGAAGGCTCCGCTCTCCAGCTCCAGGCTGTACTTGGTCTTGCGCCCGTTCAGCGTCCGCACGGTCAGGTTACGAAGATCCCGCAGACCGCTCAGCAGCTTCGCTGGCCAATGCATCAGTTTGCAGCCGGTGAGCTTGAGCGAGCGCAGTCGCCACAGGTGCAGGAAGCCGTCGACGCTTAGGAGCCCGTTCTCGTCGCCGAGATCGGAGTCCTCGCAGACGACGTTCATCGCGGTCACGTACTCGCTCGTCACCTGCGAGAAGTTGGTCCGCAGCGAGTCGTTGCCCCCCGCGTGCCGGTGCACGCAGGTGAGCGCGCCATCCTGCCGCGAATCCCACGAGCAATGCTCCGGCAGGTCCAATCGCGGCGGCAGCTCGCTGGTCACCGCGAACACGTGGTGCTGGCACACTGGCAGCAGGCAGTAATAGGCGGCCAATGACAGCAGCAGCAATCTCCCGGGAACCTCGAGACCACCGACGAGGCCACGCATCTTTAACGAACTCGTTGCCTGCGCTCGGTACCGCTCCGCTGTCTCTTGTTCATCACACGACCGACCCCGCTCTCTCTCTCTCTCTCTCTCTCTTTTCCTCTTTGCTCTTCTTCTTTCTCTTGGTCGGCGCGCGTTCGCCGAAGCGGGCCGCTTCGTGTCGAGCCGGGAGAGACGGCGGCGTCGCGCGTACGTGTGCTCTCGTTGCTGCCTGCTCGCTGCTGCGACGGTGTGCTGCACGACAGGGTGTTCACTTCGATCCCGATTAGAGAACCCACTTGCGGAGACTGTCACGGTTCGCCGCCGAAATACTCACTCAAGGATCGACGGTAGGCGCGCGCGCGAGCGCGCGCGCTCGCGCTCGGTTGCTCGGGAAGTCTCCGGCAAGTTGGCCGTCGCGACTCGTTGCACCAGCGCGCGCTAAGCCCAATTAAGGCTATCGAAATTGTTTACACTTTGGGATGCACTCGGGGCTCAGGGCTTAATCGGTGAATGATGGAAATCGTTCAAGCCCGACGCGGATCACGTCTGCCTCCTCCCGGTCTCTTCCGTGGTGGGGAAAGTACTTTTCCCTTCTTCCGGCTTGTATCAGACGACGAAGCACCCTCCGATTATCTCCTGATTCCGAGAGCGGAAGCTGCGGTTCGAGCCGCTTACGGAGCCAGTTCGTATCCACGAGTCACGCGTCACAGGCTCCGCTCGACGACGGGCATCGATCCTGTCGGCCTGTATCAGAATGTCACCCGCTTACGGTGACTCGCTGACAAGCTAACGTCGCGTCTCGCTACGGCATCCCGCATACTTGCGATCAGACCGACGTGCTGCTGCCTCGCGTTTATCCGCGTGCCGACATTGGCGTCTCGTGCGAACTCGCCGTTCCGCGCCGCGAGATATGCCATTACAAGCTCCCGCGCATCACACTGTTTCGCCGGCGATCCGGTTGCCGAGCAGGTGCGTCTGGGACTCCCGGTCGTGGCCCATCGGACAGCAGAAAACCCCGAGACGGAAAGCCCCGAGGCCGAATTCAGCCGGCGCGCGTAAGGGCCGCTTCCGAGGGGGGCGCGTCGCCGACGCGGAGTGAATGAGAAGAGAAGCGAAGCGGAGAGTGAGTGTCGAGCCGACGCGCGACTGACGCGAATTCCACTAGCTGCGCAACGGCGAGCAACGGACAATTACTGACACAGAGTGACGAGGGGGAAACTGAGCGAAAGAGAGAAAGAGAGAGATCGCCTCCGTACGACGGCGAAGAGCGCAACGTTCGCTACGACGGCCACCGCGCGACTGACGAGCGAGATCTCCTCAGCATCTAACTCGACGCAGCGTCCACCAATCGTTTCTACCCCCACCGCGCGCGCCGGTGGCGGCAGCGCTCTCATCTACACACACACATACATGCACGCGTGCGCGTACACGTACACAGCTGCGAGCGGTACCCAAGTGGAGTGAGCACGCGTCTACCGCAGGACCTCGGGGTAGGACGAGGACATCCTGCGCTTCGTAGTGCCGCGCGCGCGAGCGAGCGAGCGAGCGAGCGAGCGAGCGGTGGGCATTGCACGCAACCTGTCTGTATCTTCTCGCCATTCGCCGATCCTGGCGCGGGACGGGGCTACGGACACGGTATCGGAAAAAGACATCGACACTTCACTCGTTACTGGAGCCGACAAAAAATATCGATGTCCGTATTAGCATCGGGAAAGGAAAGTATCGCTGCACACCGGCGCGGGCGCATGCAAGTCGGGGAAACGGGTCCTATTTACGCTCTCGCTGCCCCCGTTCCCCCTCCCCGTCCCCCTCTCGTCCTTTCCTTCGCTCTTTTTCGCTTCTTCTTCTTCTTCTCTCTCACGCGCATGCGACGAGCGGTTATTTAATACGTATCGCCATTGCGCCCACGTCTCTCTGTATTCCCGCCGCTGCGATAATCGAACTTTGTTTAATAACAATCGGACATGGCTGATAATTGAACGCGAGTCGGATTTGTTTACCCGCGTGGATGGGGAGCGGGTACCGGGTCGTGCATCTTCTCGCGGAACTTTTAATTCCGTCCCGGCGCGTTTGATTATGCCGAGATCGATAGGGCGCGCTTTGATCGCGCTGATATTCTTGCGAGAGCCTGCGCGTGTCACTCCCGAGACGTGTCGTTGCTTCTTTACGGGGCTTTGTTGGATTCTCGCGCAGGTGAGTCGAGACACGGTTTCCATCGAAGCGAAAATCTTGCGTACGTTCCGCGGTCAATCCTCATCAGTTCGTTGCAAAAGTCAAATCCGATGTTAAGATCAATTTGCTTATCGCGAATAAATTGAGGAGATTATTTGGCTCCTCGGCATGAAAGTGGTTTTTCGGAAGCATTTTTAGCAAGAAACATGGGGAAAATAGTAAAGAAATTTTATCATCAATATTAACACGAGAAAAATAGTAAAAAATGTCTATGATCAATGTTTGTCACTGTTACAAGTTTATATTAAATATAAAGCCGTGTACACACCATATTTAAATGTATATTGTGTTAAAAATTACATTCTGCTTACAAAAATACAATAAAATAACCTACGACTGCCAAGAATGTATTTTTATCGATTTCCGAAAAGCAGATTTTTAATATTTCCGATTGCGATTTTTAGCACATGTAGTAAGAAAATTCTATGATTAATATTTGTTATTGTTAATAAGTTTATATTAAATATAAAGGCATATACACTCCATATTTCTGCTTATAAAAGTAAAAAATAATTTACGACTGCCAAGACTGTATTTTTATCGATTTCCAAAAAGCAGATTTTTAATATTCCCCCTTTTACGATTTTTAGCACTATCTCGCGTAGGGGCTTTGTTAATCTTTTTAGTATCAATTATTTTTAATATATCGTAGACTCATGTATTTGGTAAGGCGAAGATTTGAAAGATAGGTATATTCATAATACATGTTTATAGGGCTGAAATATTTCTTTTTCTTTTCCGTTTGCAGTTGTTACTTATTTTGATGCCTGTCAGTCACAGGAATTTTTTACTATTTTTTCCGTTTCTCGTTAAAAATTTCTCGGGAGATCACTTTTGTTTCGAAGAGTCAAAGTTATCGTAATCGATATTATACTAATCGAAATTATACCTGTAATATTGAGACAGAGCAACGATGACATTTTGTAATTTGTAATTTAGAGTCAAGAGTCAAAAAAAAGGTGAAGTTAATCGGACCGCGGCGAAAGAAGTTCCGTCCGAATGAATTTTAAAAAGGATTAATAAACGAACCCTGAGCTGAGGAATCAAACGTAAACATCGAACGCTCGTGTTAGACTTGGTAACTCGGCGTAACCGAAGTGTAACCGCGCGCACGTGATGTCACAAACGTCATTGAAACTTATTTAACAATCAATCCCGAGTTAAGGAGTCTAACACAAACATCGAGCGTTCCTGTTGGCTCTCTCAATTGAGGATGTAACTGCGCGCGCGCGCGCGCGACGTCGCAGCGCTAATGAAACGCATTTCATCATCAATCTCGAGGCAAGGAGTCCAACGTCCGCGCAATGTTTCGCAAATCGCGACCACGCGTGTTTGAGTCTCTCTCTTTCTCCTTTTCTTCCTACGTCTCTCGACGGAAACGCGTGGACAGGAGGCTAAGGGAGGCAGGGAGAAAGGGAGACGCCGACGGCCGGGAAACGCACGTCCGAAACTAGTTCGAGCATACAGCGCGTTACGTGAATCGTGGACGGTCCTCGACATCCCTCTCGATGGCCGTCTTTATCAGCCGCCGCGCGTCTCCATCCCGCTCGAGAGATCGCTTCCGAGAGGGAGAAAGCCGCGTGTCTCTCACACGGGAGAACTATTCCGCGCGCGCTCTCCTCTCCACGCATACGCGGCGCATACTCGTTCTGGCTGCCGCTACAGCCTGTCGTCCGTCGTTGCTGTGTGCACCCCCGGTGAGCGGGAGAAGAGGGTGTCGTCGTGAGTGGCTGAGAGAGAGAGAGAGAGAGAGGGAGAGAGAAAGAGAAAGAGAGAGAGAGAGAGGGAGGGAGGAAAAGAGAAAGAAGCAAACGGAGAGTCAAATACAGCCGGAAAGGCAGACGGAGATATAGATAGATAGATAGATAGGAGGAAAGGGGGGGGGAAAGACAGAGGAAAGGGTGGACGACTTTGCGATTCGATTGCCGAACTTGCACGAAGAACCGCGAACCGGTCTCTCCTCCCAGCCCCTCGCGGAAATGAGACGCACTTCTCCGGTGTGTAGCGCAGCCGAACGAACGAACGAGCGAACGAGCGAATGACCAACCGACCGATCGACGATATTCGGAGCATCCACCCCGGTACAGATCACCACTCGTAAAAAGGTTTCGATCAATTTTTAAGTGGCCGCCGAACCGGCTCTGCTCTCTCTCTCTCTCTCTGTCGTCCCCGCTCTCAGCGATCCCTCGCGTCCCCGGCCCTCTCGTACTCTCCTCCGGAAAGCGACAAACAACGTTCACCCAGCCGCTCGCGTTTCCTCCGCCGGGATTCTCCCAATCTCGCGGTGTGGATCCCGCGACACTGAGAGAGCGCGAGAAGCCGAGAGAGAGAGAGAGAGAGAGAGAGAGAGAGGACGCGGAGAGTGCTCCTGCGTCCTGCTCAATAAGCCTCGCTGATTCATGCTCGTTCGGCCGACAAGCGACTTTCGACTTGATCGATGGGGACTCGAAATAGTTTGTAACTTGGTGGCCACGGTCGCCTGTGGTTTCGACTTCGCAGAATATATTCGCGCGTCTCGCCGCGCCTCGCCTCGGCTCGGCTCGGCTCGTCGAATCGCTTTGCGCTCCGTTTTGGTTTCGCTCGGGGAAGTGAGCATTAATTCATATTAAGTGTCACTTAATCGGAAACTTGGACGGAAATAAAGTCGGTCCGTCCCTCTCTCTGCGTCCCTTTATGCGCACTACTTGCTCCTTTTCCCTCCGTCCATATCGGAGGTTTATAGCGCGATACGAAAGACGGATCGCGCTCGCTTAATTGACGCATAGGTGAGAGAAAACGGATCTCCGCGCTGCGGCGTTTCCGAAGGTTTTTTTCTGTAAGGATTGTCAACTGTTAGTCGTGGGGAGGAAATTTGCAAACGCGCGCGTGGTAAATATATAGAAAAGGGTACACCTCACTGACGTTTTTCATTTTGAAATATGTTACAAAGGATGACATGCTGAGTGACTTTTCCTAATACAATTATATGGGGGTCGCTTATAGTTTCTGAGATATTTGACTTTATAGTTTTGTAATTGTACGTTGAAGTACACTGATAGAAAAATATAGTTGAATTAATTATAATCTCACTATACTTTATAGTTCATTTATTGTTTTATAGTTTTATAGTTAATTATAATCTCACTATATTTTATAGCTTAGCGTCAACCATATTCTTATAGTTCGTAGAATCTGCAAAATATAGTAGAATAAACACAAATATATAGTCAATGATTGTCTTAAATAATTGTTTAGTTACTTTTACCACATATATGATAATTTCTCATTCACAAATATAGTGAGATTTAATATAGTTACATCTGTCATCATTTAGCAAATATTCTGGCATAATATTGACTATGTAAAAGAGTTACTTTACCTACCATTTTATATTTGTATCCATACAATAATTTTAGTTTAACTTACTATAATTCTTAGTAAAAATATTATATGGTTGGTTATACTACGCCTATATCGTAATTATTACCGATATTATGGTATTAACTTACTATAAATATGATATTTCGGATTATAATTTAGTTACTATATCATTATAGTTCCAAATAGCATATACTTTTCTCTCAGTGTATATTTGAAGTAGAGGTAAATATATAGAAAGGTGAGGTACACCTCACCAGTTTTTTCATTTTGAAATGTGTTATAAAGGATGAAATTCTGAGTGACTTCCTGATAAAACTATATGGGGATCGCTTATAGTTTCCGAGATATTTGATTTTAAAATTTTGAAATTTTGATTATCCTGGAATTGAATTCCAGATATCACAAGCTGACATTATTTACAGTACAATCCAAACAGTTAATCCAAACATAGTGTATACATAAAAATATAGGGAACAGTAAATTTAAGCGGGAGAAGGTTTCCGCCCCTCCCCCGCACCCCCTCCCCAAAAAAATCCTAACCTAACCTAACTTATTGCATCTTTATATATGTTGAAAAAATCTCTTTAAAAG